TACTCCATAGAGGTGGACCATCTATTCACAAACGTGTCTCATCAGAAAACAGTTGACGATTGCTGTCATTTCATTCTGAGTCAAAACATGTATGTGGGTCTCCCTTTGGAATATTTGAGGGATACGTTGCACAGAAGATGTGCGTTTTGAGTTTGAAAGGACGGCATACAAGCAGACAGACAGAGTCGTCATCGGCAGCCCTCTAGGACCGGTTCTGACAGATACACTTTTAGGCTTGATCGAAAAGCAAGTTGCTGCCAGTATTGGTGAAGCAAAATAATAGAAAAGTTATGTGAGTCACATTCTGGTATTCAACAACAGCGAACATTTTACCCACCTATTAACCACTCTGAATTCAATTAAATCTTGCAGGAGAGGAAACAACACCACTACTCGTCATTTTTGGATATCCTCATTAGGAGATGGGACGGAGGTAAGCTGCAGCGGATCGTTTGCCGCAAGACAACATGGTGTGGGCAGTACTATCACTTTACTCCACCTAGCGACTGCTTTAAGATGCAGTTTACCACAAAAGTACACTCACATACTTATAATGGGTGGTTTCAAGGTACATTGTGTCGAAACATCTGCCACGATCGGTGAACAATTCAAAGACAATCTACAAGATCTCGTAAGCACTGTTTCTTTGTACAATCACATCACTTTGCCCGCTCGGTTCAGAATATGTAACAGGTCATCTGTGCTGGATCTTCTACTTACTAACGAGGAGCATATGATTGATGTGTTGGTTTCAGTCTGCCGTTGTGTCGCAGTGATCACGCAGTGATCAGTTTCAACTTCGCCTGCTATGCAGAATATCGGAATGAGAACGATGAAACCGTGCAAACCATCACAAGGTACGACCGACTCACCCAGCTCGTCAGCGCCACGACTTGGTCGTTCTTTGACGAAGTACCCCCGGAAGTTGCCTGGTTCTAGTTCGTCAACAAATTCAGTCAGCTGATTGCAGAGGCCTCAGAGATAAAAGTGTGCAATAAGTGTACATCAGTTTCTTTCGTTAGGAGCAGAACTCAAAAATGGATAACCGTGTGCAACGCAGCATGGCAAGTATACAGAGAAGCTCCAGCAGCAGAAATTTGGAACAACTACTTAGCCCAATGTAATCACTGCACTCAAGTGTTAAGAGAAGACAAAGCCGCCTATCGGCAGAACATCGCAAATACTTTCAGTGCTAACCATAAACTGCTGTACATGCATGTTAATAGCCTAGGAAAGGTGAGGCAAGGATTTCCTCCACTCAGGACGGGTGATGACCCAACAAGAACGGCTGTGGAAGCAGTAAACTCGTTGCGGATGCAATATGCCCCCACTTTTCAAAGGGTCTTGCCACAAAGCGACCTACCAACCTTTGTCGTCTCCTCACCCGGAACTAAATTATATCATTTTTATCGCGGAGGCTGTATTGCAAAAGCTGACGTCTCTACGCAAACACAGCTCACCGGGTGTCGACACATTGGTCCAGAGGCATTGGAAACGGCAGCAAGCCAACTGGCATGACCTTTAGCTCAGATTTTCCAGCTCTGCTTAGAGCAGAACCAAGTTCCTGCTATGTTGAAGCTTGGAATAATAATCCAGATTCACAAAAATGGAAGCCGCACTGGGCCCTCCAAATATAGCCCAACATCTCTTCTCGCTATAATCTCCAAGTTCATGGAATCAATCGTTGTGGATAGCCGGTGTGTTATCTGGAATCTTGCAGCATCGTCACGCCTGAGCTGCAAGGCTGCCGTCCCTAGCCATCATGTAAAACGAATTCACTATTTGCATGCCCTAGTGGGACCGATTTAGCTAACGCTGGAGGACATTGGTGTGATCTACATGGATTTGTCATAGGCTTTTGGTTGTCTAAACCAGGGATGTCCAAAGTCCGGCACGCGGACCAAATGGTGTTACCATTACGAATGGCCCGCGGCCACATCATAAACTATTAAATTCAGGTTTAGACTTTTTCATACATATGTAATTTTTGTTATTAACTTAATGTCAGACTTAATATGGCCAGACCGATTGCTACTTCACAAAATGTGGTCCTCCTTACGAAAAGTTTGGACACCCTTGGTTTAGGCCATCTGATGACATTTTCCAAGCTTCTTTATTGTGGGAGCTGCCACCCACTTCTAAGTTGGATTGCCAACTTTCTACTTCAGCAGCTATTAGTGGTCAGAGTTCGGAGCTCTTTAACGGACCGTACACAACTCAAGTGTGCTGTGCCCCAAGGCTCTGTTTCAGGTCCACGTCTGCTTTTGGTGTTTAGTTATGACCTCACACATGCAATCGCTTCAAACTTCCTAATGTTTACCCATGGTGTCAAAATTTGGCGTGGGATGCAAGGGGAATGCCGACCAGCATTTGCTTAAGCGTAATCTAGTTACGGTACATTGATGGTCAACCCAAAATGCAATGCATTTCAATGGTACTCCCCAGATGACATCAGCGCAAGTACTCATATCTACTCGGAGCAAATGTACTGCAACAATCAACTGTCAAACGTGACTTGGGTGTGCTGATTCAAGACGACTTGGGTTGCTCCACGCAATCCAAAAAAGCCTCGAAGACTGGAAACCAACATGTCGGGCTGTTGCGGCGCGTTTGGACAAATCGACCGCTCTATTCCTCGGGAAATGCTTAGTGTGCATGTTCACCCCATGTCGAATACGCAATTCAAACCTGGCATCCATGGCTGAAACACTATCTTAATGCACTGGAGCAGCCAGAATGTCGGGCATCTAAGAACGTAAGTGGAATGCGCAATCTTTCATATGTGCAGAGGCTGAAGCGACTGGGCGTATCCAGTGGAAGCTATCGCAGACCACTATGCGACCTGATTATGGCATACTTGATCCTGCGAGACACATCATGTGTGCCGACCTTTACTGCAACTCAGCAGTAACACAAATCTGTGGATCCACTCATTGAAACTCGCAGAATAATAATCAATGATCTACCGCAGCTTCTCCGGTCGCCGTGTGCCTTGTTTGCGGACGACATGAAGATTTGGAGAGAAATCGGAGCTTCCGATGACTGTGGCCTACTTCAGCAAGATCTCAACCGCTTATCCACATGGTCTGCAGAAGTTCTTCTCCCGGTCAACCCAGTCAAGTCCGTATTTATGAGCCTGAGGAAGGGTGCTAACGGCCGAACCAACACTCTTGACGGCCAAACGTTATATCCCACACCCTCCGTGAAGGACCTAGGTGTACTCTCACGCTATGATTTGAAGTCCGTGGACAGCACGAACAGGTTATATCGGAACGGACTGCGCATGCTTTGGGAGCTCAAACGTAGCTTCGGCACATAGTCTGAAGAGGTTGGCACTCGCCTGTTCTCTTCTATCATTAGACCAATGCTAGAGTACGGTTCGCCCGCCTACTTTCCGATTACCCGACGCGAGGCACAAAAGATAGAACGGGTCCAACACGTCGCTACCAGGCTCCTCCCGAGTTTACTTGGCTTTGGGTATGAAGACCGGTGCGAGAAACTAGGGCTCTACACTTTGTCCTACCGTCGGGTGCGAGTCGACCTCATTATGACCTACCGAATTCTACATCTTGGTCAGTTTCCCATGCTAAGGCCAATACTGCACTTACGAGGGCCATGCAGCACACGCGGACACAGATACAAACTTGTCGCGTCGGATATGAAATGTGTTCCCCACCCACTGTGCTCCGAAAGGAGAGTGGTAAACATTTGGAACAGTTTGTCCGAACATGTGGTTGAGGCAACATCTGTGCAGCAGTTCAAAACGTTGTTAGACTTGTATTTTGCCTCTATTCGATACAGAGAACGACTGAACACTTACGATGACATATCACATTTGTGAATCCTGAAATATCGTAAGTCGAATATTTTAAATATTACATGAGAACGACAATGATATTCACGGTTGACAATTTTATAACGTTTTCCGCCATATTTCGAAAGAGTTGTACAGCATCCATCTCTACTTGCTCTATAATACAGTATTCAGTATTCAGTCGTCTGGAGTGTCGCAGAAATTTCTTTTCCATTCGTGTCTGTCACCTGTGGAATGCTCTCCCAGACTCGGTAGTCACTGCACTAACAATAACAGTATCTGTAAGACGGTTGGATGACACACTCGTCCACTCACACTGTGTTGCTTAGTGCTACCCATGGAGTGCACCTTGAATTTATTTGATGTTAACTGTGGGTCTGTGAATCTAGGCGGATTGCAGGACTACAGCAGAGTAAACGACAAGTCGTTTCTTCATATTTAAGGTACAGTTTCCTTATCATTATAACCATTATTTTGATAGCCCCACCAACTTTTAAATGAGGCTTGTAAAACAGCGTTTATTAACCCCTATAAATTCTTTGTTCATTGTTCTGCAAACAAGGGCACTCCACACTGGATGCTGTGTCCTATATCGTGCATTCCGTTGCATCTAAACTGGA